GCTTCTCCAGCTCCACACCATATTGACTCTGACTCCAGCATCTGCAGTTCTTGCTATCACCAGACTAGCAGCAATGCACTTTTGGACACGACAAACTTTGTCAGTAACAATATCGCTGAACCACCTTTTGGTGATGGATTTTGGGATCCCCCACCCAGAGTACACTCTGATTCCTTCCCTCAGTGCTTCCTCCAAATGAGCGTGGAGGCATACTGATTTATCAGTTGACAAAGGACTGGTACATGGTAATTAGCTGGAGGTTTCCTTGCTCATGTTTGACCTGATGAAACCTCATAAAGTCAGTAGTCAATGTTGAGGACTTCTAGAGCAACTTTGTTCGTCCTCACTGTTATACCATTGTGCACCGTCTCTGGTGGGCCCATCCTGCCACTGGGAGAGGGCATACACATTGGCCCCAGAAACAGTTTCAAGGACACTGCTCTTTTGACTATGTCTTTTACAGTACATTCTGGTGTAATAGCTGAAATCATTTTCTCACTGCTTAGCACAAGTTATGACCTTATTCTTAAGTCAAAGTTTGCAACTGTCTTCTGCTGCTAAACTTGTCTGGTTATGGTTGACTCGATAGGCTGAATGGTCTCTATCTGCACTGTAGGGATTCTATGATTCTCTCACCAAATCTCTCTTGACTGTCACCTCTCCTCCTGACTTGATCCCACCGCCCACTGTTTCCTTCTCCTGGCCCTCCCTCTTGCAACTTCTCTCTCAAACACTTGTTGTGAAAAAGGGCTTGGGACGGGCAAGAAGAAGGAGGAAGCAAGTGAAAGGAGCTACAAAAAGGAAAGTTGTCAGTGAAGTGACAAGTGGGAAAGAGTGTCCAGAGAGTGAAGTGGCAAGCAGAAGGATACTTCCAGTCCTAAATAGCACTGATCAGGTTATGAATGCTCCATTGAGCCAGGCCAGAATCAATGACAAAGCAAAGGTCCTGAAGTTACCCAAGAACCCTCAAAAATATTGCGAATGTATAAGTTTATCTCCATGTTTTTGCTGAAATATTTGGGTCAGAAGGTTGACTTTTACATGAATTTGTACAGTAAATTAGTACCTCTTTAATCAGTTTTGTTGAAAATAATACCAACAATGTCAATTCTTCATTTATTTTCTTTATTTGATATGTGAGACAATGCCACAGGGAAATCTGTTTTCACGTTCTATCAGTGGACAGTCAATATAATGTAAGAAAACTTCCTTTGAGAAATATGTTCCTTCTTGCCCTCTATCAAAGATGAGACACTAATTGTCAACAAATATATTTGATCGTTAGAATTGGTAAGTACAACTGTCGTCTCAGTTCAGAATGCTGGTCTGCACAGTTCAATTTGGTATCATAATGACATCAAACGCCTCATTTTATATTCTTCAATGTCAGAATCGGTGATGGGAGTTCCGAGTCAGTGTTTTGGAATCAGTCACGTTGCAACCATCACCAAGTTTGTTGTGATGTACATCTGTAGTGAGCAATCATGAGAAAAAACTGATATTGATGGTGTCCAGAACAAATATATGAAATGTGGCATACTATCGAGTTTGGGAATTATAGTGTATGTGAATTTACTGTACCATACCATGTAAATATGTTTGCACATCTCATCCATTAATGTACAATAAAACTGTGACAATAGTCTGTTTCTTAAGATGCTAAACTGGAAAATATTAGTCCTTAAAAAACTTCTAAATAGTTTGAAATTATATTTACACACTGAACAGATTAATTCAAGATTTATTGAATATTAGTGTAGAAATCAGATACTCAAAAACTTCTTCTCATTGTGTTTTTCCTTAATGCGGTTCACCCTGTCAAATTGTGTAGGAGATCCTGCTGTTTAAAACTGCGTAGTAATTCAGTATTTCCCTTTCCAGTGAGTCTTGTACCTTCCTGACTGACAAACCAGAGATGACAGAAGAAAGTCTGGAATTAGTTTAAAATCCACATGTTTTTGTTGTGCAGAATAATGGTATTCGAACTGTTGGCTAGATTCAAAAACCATTGTATGCAGCTACAACATGTAATTAACTTTTCTTTTAAAAGGTCTCCACTTTAAAAAAAGGAAAATAGAGGCACTGTTTGCTAAAATATTTCTTTATTTTCCAACTGCATTATATCTGCAGTTTTTGATTTGCTTTCGATTCTTGGGCTCCTTCAAATTCCTACCTAAAGCAGACACTATTACACCTTGTCCCATCTCCTCCTTCCATCTATTTAAGTGCGATCCCAGTCATGAAGTGCCTTGAGGCACTCTTCCATCATTAAGTGGCTAAATTCTATTGGGCAACTTTGCATTAGTATATTCTGCAACATTTCAAATCAAATTGCTGGAAAGACCTCAAATGATTTACTGTAAATCCTCTGTATTTGTGAAATCACGAATCGCAAATTTCCCTATCCGCGCCAAAAAAAAGTAACAACAAAAATCGATACCTGCGGGCAAAAATTGCATATACCCAATGTTTAACCCATTTTTAATGAGCCCTGCACGGGTTCTCAGGAACCAAATCATCGCTGATACGAAGGACTGACTGTATTTACTAATTTAGAATGTCAGCATAAAACATGCTTCCAATTAGTGGGCAAGATCTGATATGAGATTAGACCATAAGATATAGGCAGAGATATGGGCCATTTGGGCTGTCAGATCAGCTCCATACTTTGATCATGGCTGACATGTGTCTCAACCCCATTCTCCTGCCTTCTCCCTGTAACCCTTGATCCCCTTACTAATCAAGAACCTATCTGTCTCTGTCTCTGTCTTAAATACACTCAATGTCTTCACCTCCACAGCCTTCTGTGACAATGAGTTCCACAGATTCACCACCCTCTGGTTGATGAAATTCCTCATCTCAGTTCTAAAGAATTGTCCCTTCACTCTGAGGCTGTGCCCTCAGCTCCTAGTGGAAACATCTTCTCCACATTCGCTGTATCCGGGACTGTCAGTATTCTGTAAATTTCAATGGGGTCCTCCTTCTTCATCTGTCTAAACTCCATTGAGTAAAGACCCAGAGCCCTCAACTGTTGCTTGTATGACAAGACCTTCATCTGAAGGAGGAAGTGAGTGCTAACGTTGCATTTGCCTTCCTAACTGCCTGCTATACCTGCATAGTAACGTTAAGAGAATCGTGAACTAGGAATCTTAAGTCCCTTTGTGCTTCAGATTTCCGGAGGCTTTTCCCAGTTAGAAAATAGTCTGTGCCTTTATTCTTCCTATCTAAGTGCATAATCTCACACCTTCTCACATTGTATTCCATCTGCCACTTCTTTGCCCACTCTCCTAGCCTGATCAAGTCCTTCCGCAGCCTCCCCACTTTTGCATCACCATCTGTCCCTCCATCTATCTGACATTGACCAGTCTCCAAGGCCACCATTATTGAATGTGTTTTTGAATGTATTTGACAAAGAACAAATATACATTCTTTATCCTTTGAGTCAATGGTGCATGTTATAGAAATTATCCCTTGTTCGTTCCTCAATGAAGATCATATGACTTGTTTTATTTTTGTTCTGTTGTTTTCTGCATTTATTTACATGGAGAGCTGAGCCTATTTTAAAGAAATGGTTATTGCCTTATATAAATAGCAAATAAAAGGATTTTGTACCAATGCATTAATTATTGATATACTGATATCATCAGTGAAATTTGGCTTCTTGTCCTATTTAGTGCTTTTTACATTCCTTCATTTTTGGCACTCGCATTGAGTGTGATTTGCCCTGTTAATATTCACCATCATTGTCATATAGCTAACCCTCCTCTGTAAGAAGAGGACATGGTAAGTTGGTGTGTCCTTTGATGTAGCATCTAATGTAAACCTTTCTTTTAAGAAGTGAAAAACATTGTTTCATAGAGTTATAGAGTCATACAGCACAAAAACAGACCCTTTGGTCCAGCTCATCTGCACTGTCTAGACATCCCAATCTGACCTAGTCCCATTTGCCAGCATTTTGCCCATATCCCTCTAAACCCTTCCTATTCGTCTACCCATACAGATGCCTTTTCAATGTTGCAATTGTACCCGCCTTCTCCACCACTTCTGGCGACACGTTCCATACATGCACAATCCTCTGCATGAAAAAGTTACCCTTCAGGTCCTTTTTTATATATTTTCCCTCTCACCTTAAACCTATGACCACCGGTTTTGGACTCCCCTACCCTAGGAAAATGGCTTTTACTATACACCTTATCCATTTACCTCATGATTTTGTAAACCTCTATAAGGTCACTCCTCAGCCTCTGATGTTACAGGGAAAAAAGCCCCAGCCTATTCAGCCTATCTCTATAACTCAAACCCTCCAGTCCCAGCAATATCCTTGTAAATCTTTTCTGCGCCCTGTCAAGTTTAACAACATCCTTCCTATAGAAGAGCAACCAGAATTGTACACAATATTCTAAAAGTGGTCTCACCGCTGTTCTGTACAACCACAACATGACATCCCAACTCCTATGCTCAATGTTCTTATCAATGAAGAGAGGTGTGCCAAACACCTTCTTTACCACCCTAGGTCTACCTGCAAATCCACTTTCAAAGAACGGTGCACCTGCTCCCCTAGGTCTCTTTGTTCAGCAACACTCCCCAGGGTCCTACCATTAAGTATAGAAGTCCTGCCCTGGTTTGCCTTACCAAAATGCAACACCTCACATTTATCTAAATTAAACTTCATCTGCCAATCCTCGGTCCATTGACCCATCTGATCAAGGTTCCGTTGTGCTCTGAGATAAATTTCATCGTATACTTTTATACATTAAGGGAAAAAATGTACTTGCAGTTTTACAGTTCTTTGCCAGCATCAGGACATCCCAAAGCATTTTGAAACTAATAAAGTTCTTTGAAATATGGTCACTTTGGCGAACTAGAAAATGGAACTTCCGGGTCACATCAACAAATATGTAATAATGATAGGAAAATGAGTTTTAGGTGTAATCTGAGGGATGATTAAGGATGAGCTCCTGAGCTCTTATCAGTAATGACTTATGATCTTCTGCATCCAGGAAGGTACGGCAATTCTTTCAAACGGCACTTATTCGACAATAACCTGGACAAAGGTGCTCCACAAGTCCATCCCAACTTTTGATCTCATTGCAGCCGAGGGATAAACACGGACAAAAGAGTTGAAGTTAGGAGAGGAAATGAGAGTGACTGCCTCTAACATCTGAGTGTGGCATCAAGAACTGTAACAAAACTGCAGTCAATACCATTTGAGAAAAACCTGCCATTGGTTGGAGTCATAGCTGGCACAGAGGAAATTTGTTGTCGTTGCTACAAATCAATCATCTTAGATACGGGACATTGTTCTGAGTGTAGTGTCCTATAGCCAAACATCTGAAACTGCTTCATTAATGGACTTCCCTCCATTAAGAGGTGTGAAGTGAGAATGCTGATAATTGCAAAATGATCAACACCATTCATGACTTTTCAGATACTGACATAGTCTGTGCCCAAATGCAGCAAGACCTGAATAATGTATTCAGACTTGGGCTAATAAATGTCAAGTAACATTAGCCCCACAAGTGTCAGATGATGACCTCATCCACAAAGGAAGAATCCAACCATCTCCCCTTGACATTCAATGGCGTTATCATTGCTGAAAAGCACACAATCAACTTTGTGAGTGTTAACGTTCAACAGAGGTTTATCTGGACAGCCATAAAAGACTGAGCTTACAAGAGCACTTGGAAATTCTGTGGCAAGTAACTCACCTTCTGATTCATCAAATCATGTCCATCGTCTTGACAGGCACAAGTCAGGAATATGGTGGAATACTTTCCATTTGCCTGGATGAGTGATATTTTAGCAACACTCAAGAAACTCAATACTATCCAGGGCAAAGCAGTCTGCTTGATTGGCACCAAATCCAATACCTTCTAACATTAGCTCCCTCCAATACAACTGTACATTGGCAGCAGTATGTACCATCTACAAGATGCACTGCACTAAAGTTCCTTCAACGGTGCCTTTCAAGTGCGAGAGTTCTATTATACAGAAGGACTGGGGCAGCAGATGCATGACAAGACTACCACCTGTAAGTTGCTCTCCAAATCCTGATTTGGAATAATATCACCGTTCCTCCACTATTATTGGGTCAAAACCCTGGAACTCCCTACCTAACACCGAGAAGCTACTGTAATTGGAAATCAGAAAATGGCAAACTTATTAAATAACTACTTTCTGTTGGTTGTCCCACTAGAGAAAGACAATAAAATATATAAAATAGCGATGAATTATATATTGTCAATCTAGATGAGCCTACATTAAAACAGTGGTGGAGAAAATAATGGGACAGATTTTGTGGTACCAGCAGTAACAACAAATTCAGCTTTTGCTGTTACCAGGTATCGAGTGAGGCCCCAAACTTCTAGAGTGATTATAATGGGAAATCACTTCACCAGAATGATAGCAGAGCTGGTGAACAGATTAAATAGGTTTGTAATTTTTGGAATATAACAGATTTAATAGTGATCTATTTGAGTTTTTTAAATTGATTGAAGGATTTTACAGGCTGCGTAGAGAAAAGTCATTTGCTTTGAAAGACTGCAGAAAATACATTCCCACTGTACAGTCAATAACAACCTACACTTTTAATACCTTTAAAACATTGTGCAGGAAAATAATTAGCTGAATGGAAAGAGCAAATTGAGCTGTATAGTGGGACTCCGTGGAAGAATAAAGGGAACAACTGTGGGTTAAGAAAGAGGCATACCTTAAGTATACAAACAGAGCAGGAAAGGATGAAAGAATACGCAAAGAAATTAAGAGAGCGGTAAATTTAAGCTACTACCACTTTTTTACTAAAATATAAAATAAAACAATAAAATATTTTTCAGACATTTTAAAGAAAGCAAGGCTTTGATGGGAATGGTACTTTTAAGACAGAGACAGAATGGTAACAGCATGCTACATAAATAAACATGCCTTTGGATGATGCGATAAACATTGAGATAAGCGAATTTAAAATAAAAAATGTTGGATGAACTTGGCAAATGGAGGAGAAAGCAGCTGAATTAGATCCAAGTATTTTAAAAGGATCCAGGAAAGATATAGCAGAGGCAGTAGTATAAATGTTGAATCTGCTGGAAAAATGTGTGGTGCCAGAGGACTACTAGATTGCCAATGCAATTCTTGTACTTAAGAAAGGGAACAGGTCTGCCTCTGTCTCTCTCTCTCTCTTTCTGTTGTCTCTCTCTTTCTCTTGTCTCGTTCTCTCTTTCTCTGTCTCATGCTCTCTCTCTCTCTCTCTCTCTGCCTGTCTCTCTCTCTGCCTGTCTCTCTGTCTGCCTGTCTCTCTCTCTCTCTCTCTCTGTCTGTCCGTCTCTCTCTCTGCCTGTCTATCTAAGAGTAGAAGAAAACAGGGAAACCAGAAGAAAAGGGAGGGCGACAATAAGAACTTCCAACTCAAGGAGAAGATTGGGTCCAATTGGTCCACTACAGAAGTAAGGTTTGCGCAGTTGAAAGCAGTGACATCATCACAAAAACCAAAAGGTCAATATTTTTGATTTGAACTGTTTAGTTGGTGACACTTCCAACTCATTCCTGCAAAATTGTCTGTTTTGTCCATCCTGCTTTTGAATAATGTGTGCATTTGGAATTAAAGAAATATAGTTTAAGTCTGCATCTGAGTAATTAATAATCCATTTTTCCGTTTCATGAAAGATACGTTAGTTATAATAAATACAATTTAATTTTTTTGTTCATCATTGATGTGTGTTTCTTTCATCAGTGGTCAAAGTTATGTAAATTAGCCATCCTAGTGATTAAATTGATCATTTTCCTCAGTTAGCTGGACAGCTGATTTGCGATGCAGTGTGATGCCAACAGGGCACTTTTAATTCCCCACATTGACTGAGATTACCAAAGATGTCCCACCTTCTCAACCTCTCTTTGCCACAGAAGTCATGACCCTCGGGTTAAACCACCACCAGTCATCGCTCTCTGATGAGAGAGCAGCTCTGTGGTCCTCTGGGACTTTTTCATCTTTGTGTTGGCTCGTGGAATATTGGGGCTTGATTTCTAACGTACTCTTCCCACCAGGGTCATGACAAATTGATTTAATTTATCTGGAAATTCAAAAGTCTTCAATAAGGTGCCCCAAAATTAGACTAATTAATAAAGACAAAGAGTGAATCAGAGAACAAGTGGCAGAATGGATTACTGGCTGACTTTCAGAGAGAAGCAGAGAGTGGGTGTAAGTGGTAGTTATGAGAGAAACAGAAGGTGAGAATTGGAGCTCCACAAGGATCAGTGCTGAGACTGCTATTGTTCACAATTTACACTAACAACCTGTACTTTGGAATCAAAAATACCATTTTTCAATTTGCAGATGACACCAAAATGGGGTGAAGGTCAAAACTGAGGAGAAGTGAAACAGATTAAGAAAAGATGGTAATATAAAGGCTTGCAGGGTGATCTAATTGGCATGGTTAAAAGGATTCAATAGAATATATACAGACAAATCATTTTCTAGAATATAGATAAAAATGTGATCCCACCATCAATTACAACTATTTCATACATGGCTAAATGATTGACAAATGAAGCTCTCACAGCTGTAAGTTTGTACATTTTGGCGCGAAGAATAGGGTGACACATATTAGTTGGAAGCTGCACATTTCCGTTGGTTAAAGTAACAAAGGGATCTTGGGATACAAATGAACCATTTTCTAAAGTTTGTGCCAAATGTTAACAAGACCTTTCAAAAAAAAAAAAAGGCAAACCCTAGAATTTATTTCTACAGCGATGGAGCTGTAAAGTTTTGTATTGAGCTTGGTTAGACCACACTTGGAGTGCTACACGCAGATCTAGTCTCCATTTATCAAAAGGTTATCACTGTAACCCATACTGATGTCTGCAAAGGTTTCAACTGTTCATGATGCTTTCCTAGTTGGCAGGCAACAGGAGTTACAGAAACAACACTAACTCTGCATCTGTGCATGTACAGAAATTGCTGCCCCTACTGTTTGTCTCGGAGAAACATGGCCAAATGATGTAGAGGATCTGGGGAGGGTGCCAAGAAGATTTATATAGGTGTAATCAGCAAAGCAAGAGTTTTTTTTCGAAATCATTCATAGCACGTGGGTTCTTTGGCTGGGCCAACATTTACTGCCTATCCTTAGTTGTCCTGGAGAAGGTGATGGTGAGTTGCCTCCTTAAACTGCTGCAGTCTGTGACATGAAGTTAGACCCACAATGATCTTAGGGAGGGCCAGCAAAGATAAAAGACTGCTGATACATTTGCAGGTTAGGATAGTGAGTGGCTTGGAGAGAAATTTGCAGGAGGTGCATATGCTTATCAGAAAGGGATTAACAGGCTGGCTCTCCTCACTCCGGAAAGAAGGAGTGGCTGACGGATGATCTAATAGAGGTATTCTTAACTTATGAAGAGTTTAAATAGAGTGGATGCAGGCAATGTTTCTCCTTCTGTTCAGAACTCAACCAGAGGCCATTCATATATAAGATGGTCATTAAGTTGGAGTTCCCTTCCAGGCCACCAACCATCCTGCCTTGGTGTTGCTGAGTCAAAATTCTGGAACTCACTTCCTAATGACATTGTGGATCTACCTACAGCATGTGGACTACAGCGGCTTACCACCACCTTCTCCAGGGCTATTAGAGGTGGTCAATAAATACTGGCTCAGCCAGCAATAGCCACATCCCATAAATGAATTAAAAAACTTAGAACAGGAAGTTCAGAAGTAGTTTCTTTACTCAAAGAATAGTGTGAATGTGAAACTCAGTACCAAATGGAGCTGTTGAAGTGAATCATATCGATACATTTAAAGGGAAGCTAGACAAGCATTTGAGGAAAATGGGAGATAGAGGATTAAGGTGGTAGCTTTGGGTAAAGAAAGATGAGGAAAGATTCAAAGGAAGTTTTGTTAACTCTGCTTTCTCCCTACAGATGTTGCCAGACCCTCGCTGAGTTTCATCAGCAATTTCTGTTTTTGTTTCCCTCCATTGTTCTTTAATGATATTTAAATGTTTAGATATGATATTGGGAGACCAGCAGGGGCAAATATGGGGAAAAGATGCATTTTACTGTGATCTTAGTGAAGACAAATAAGATTAGGCTCAGTGATACACCCAAAACATTAGTATCTTTGTTTGAATTCAGACTTTTAACTTCCAGTGGTCTGAGGATTTTGACTGTGGTACCCAGCCAACACTGATTTTTTTTTCTAGCTTGGTTGAATCTTGATTGGCATGCGCATCTTAAAAATGCTAAGGAATTGAGCTGAATATCTCATTGTTGAGAAGAGATCTGAAATTACAGTCCTCCATGGAGATGAAAAAGACTGTTACTGTGAAGTTTGAAGTGTTTTGAAAGTTTATTTAACTATATTTTAAACATTGTAACATTTAGTTAATCCATTGCTTCCAGTTCCACACCACAGGTTTGATGTTGTTAGATATACCCACTTGTTCCCACATCAGTGGGCTTTCATTACTTGTTTCCTAAGAATCCTTTCAATAGTATAAGTGCCAAATAAAACACATTGGGGGGAAAAAATTAATACAACTTTGCTTGTATAAAGTGACAGCAATGCATTTGTTGAATTGCTCAGGCTGTATCCAAATGAGACCTTGCATTTATATTGTACTTTTCTTGTTCTTGGGACATTCTAGATTGCTCACTGAAAGAAATACTTTTGAAAGCTCGTGGCTGTTATAATTTAGGCAAAATGTGAAGACTCACAAATCATAACAAGGTGGTACATAGCAACGATGTTGATAGGGAAATAAATGTTGGTTAAAATTCTGGAATGCTTCCTGGAGGTTTTTTTTTTGCATTTTATAATACTCAGAATGGTGGTTTGGCACCTTATGTAGCCTGGATGGAGTTCTCCTGTTCCTTCACAGGTGAAATGGATGCTTTCTCACTTTTCATGACTGAAAGTACGATGCAAATCCTTTTCAAATAAAGGATTTTTTCAAATAAATCTCTCTGGCTGGTGCATTAATAAATCTTTCTGCAAAATCTGCAGTTTATATTATGTATCATCAAATATTATCACCGTCTTAAAATACGCCCAACTATTATCTTCTATCAGACTGTGTCCTCTAAATCTTTAAAATTGACCTTTTGCTCCACGATGACCCAATGTCGAAGCCGTCATCTAAATTATTTTAATAGCCCTTAGAAGGGTTCTGTAACTGTTCTGTAAGACGTTGCCTTATACTTTGCTGATGTTCGTTGTTGGATGTCATTATTGATGAGTGGTCTTTGTTATTTTTACGATGTCAGTTAATGGTTTAGTAAAGCATTTTTGATCCTGCATCTTCTCCAAAACTTATTTCATATTTTCCTGAGATTTCTGTTCAGATTTTTTAAGATAATGTTAGAGGTTTGGTGAACTATATTTATTTGAAGACAGGGAAGGAAATGCAAAACTATTTTCAGAATGCAAAGATATGAAAAACGACAAACTTGTAAGACGCTTGCCTTTCCCTATCATATATCTCAAACTTCTTTACAGCCAATGAGATACTTCTGAAGTGGAGAGAAAGGTAGGAGGGGATTCTAATTGTACATGAAGCCAAAGTTCAGGTCTTAGTAGAAGAAAGTTTTGGGTGGGTTGACCTTACCAGCAGTGATGGTTGGGAAGCTCTCTTGCATTCTTTCGCATATCCATAAGACCATAAGATATTGGAACAGAATTGGACCATTTGGCCCATTGAGTCAGTTCTGCCATTTGATCATGGCTGATTGCTTCACAGCCCCAAACTTCTGCCTTCGCTCTGTAATCTTTGATCAACTTACTAATCGAGAATCTATTTCTGTCTTAAAAACACACAATGACCTGGCCTGTACAGTCCTCTGTGGCAATGAGTTCCACACATTCACCACCTTCTGGCTGAAGAAATTCCTCCTTATCTCAGTTCTAAAGGGTTTTGCCTTGATTCTGAGGCTGTGCCCTTGGGTCCCAGTCTCACGTACTAGTGGAAAAATCTTCTCTACGTCCGCTCTATTGAGGCCTCTTCTTAAGTCCTCAATCACTGCTCATACGACAAGCACTTCATCCAAGGGATCATTCTTTTAAACCTCCTCTGGACCGCCTTCAACGCCAGCAACACCCTTCCTGAGACATGAGACCCAAAACCGCTCATAATATTCCAAATGCGATCTGATCAGAGCCTTGCACAGCCTCAGCAGTATATCCCTGCCCTATATTCTGGTCCTCTCAAAATGAATGCTGACATTGTATTTGCCTTGCGAACTGCTATTTGTCATGAATATTTATTAACACCCCAGATCACCAGTATTACATTCACAGTTGCAATCCTGTTAGTAATGAGTGAGTAAAATCAGCCTTCAAAATTTTGGCCCCACTCAAGACACTGCTTCATGCTTCTTACTGAGACGTCTTTATTAGTGAGTGGTGATTCAGAACAGGTGTTTCTAGGCTGCTGCTGCATATGTAAATTTAGCGTCTAAGGTAGGTAGGCTGCCTGGGGCAAAGAGCTGCCTAAGGCGATAGGGAGACTGGCTCATAGCAGGAATGCTCCCTGGGGTATGCAGGAAAAGTAAACTCGTAATCTTCAATGGTGCAGCTAAATGCAGTGTTAGTGGTTTTGAGGCAAGGAATGAAATCACAGAATGTAGCCACTAGATTGGTAGAAGGATTCCAAGGAATGGATGTGAGCAACTGAAAAGCCAAGGGGAAATTTGAATGACTGGCAAGGTGGACAAGGAAGGG